AAAGAGGAAAGGAATATGATTCCTGTTCTATTCCCTGCGATACCCACAGTACACTCCTTTTAACCTACCAAAATACCCTTACATCGAAACCTCTAGTATTCCTTCTAAGCGTATAAGGGGAATATTTTGCAAACTATACTCGCATTATACCACGTAACACTCCCCTATTATTCTGTGATTTCCATCACTGATCTCAATGTATTCTTGCATTAGACCCCACATAGACCCAGAAGGGAAAATAATAATGCCCTAGGTATATTCGTCGTAGAACTTGCTCAGAAACTGTCTCATTACTCTCAGCTTCCTCGTCCGATTTCCCTTTATATATCGTAACACATCCAAAACGAGGGTTAAGGTTCTATCCCCAGCAGGGCGCGTATGGCTGAATAGCCCAGCGGGGCGCGGGTTAGTGGTCAGCAACACGTCCAGGGAGCGACTGCCCGTCCTCCTCGCCCGCCCTGCCGGCCAGTCCCGGCCCGCCGACCGGTCACCGCCGGAGGCGCCGAGCGGCACAGGTACGGTATCTGACAGTAGCGGCAGAGACTGTACACTAGGGTATATTAGAAGAATTCAAGGGAGGTATTTAAAGAATGACGGTATAGTTTGGGTATGTTCGAAGAAAATGATCAGGGTGTTGTTTTAGACCAAAACCCCTGATATGCTTAAAAGGAATCATTTGAGGAATCATTTGAGTATCTTAAGGGCATTCCGCCAGGAAAACGGCAGAGTTATAGGAGCATGACAAACCATGATCAAAGGGAATAGAGAATCGTTTTGGTTGTCAGTGTACCTACTTTTCAGCACCTAAAGCCGCCCCTGCCATGCCTATTGTATTGTATTGTATTGTATTGTATTGAACAATCATGAGCGATCCACATTCTGAAAGTGCGTGGCGATTACTGCTCAGAATCCGTATCCGCGGTTACTAATCTAAACATTCACAGCATTCACACACTCACTCACGTCAGAGCACGGACAGAGACACCTTCGTAGTACCACAGGTACAACTCACCCACCCACCAACCCGTTGGTCAGCGACGATCAGTTGATGCCCCGTCCACTATCGCGGCTTTAACAGATCGGGCAAAGGGGGCGGGGGACAGCTGCGACAGCTGAGTTGGAAGACTGTTGAGTAGAGCTGCGGCTCGATAGGCGAACCGCCGCCTACCCGTTTCCAGCCGTGGTCGCGGAAGGTGAAAGAGGTGGTCTTGCCTGGAGTGTCTCTCCCGGACAGCGCTGTTTGTGACGAACATGGTTGCCAATTCCTCGGGTTCGCCGCGCTGAATGGCTTTGTGGGCGATAACAAGGGTTTGATAATCAGCCATATGACGCGGGGACAACCACCCGAGCTTTTTTCGCAGGTCAGAGACATGGGCAAATTTACGGCGACCGAAAATGACTCTAGCAGCGAAGTTCAAAATTTTTTGGAGACGATCGAAATTTTTTTGGGACCCGTTGCCATAAACTGAGAGGCAGTACTGGATGCGTGAGATAACGAGTGCTGTCACGAGCGTTCTAATGATGCCATCCGGGAGACTGTGGCGCGCATGGGAGAGACCGATCAATAGTCCCGTACACCGGCGGCTGAGTTCGGAGACGTGAGCGTCCCAGGATAGAGTACTGTCAAAAGTGACGCCCAGGTTCCCCACCTGCGCGCACGGCTGCAACGCTGCGTCACGGAACGATACCCTGAAATCTGGCAATTTGCGTAAATTTTGACGACTGCCGAAGACAATGAGCTGTGTTTTACTGGCGTTGACCTTCAGGGCGTTAGCGCAGAACCATTCGTTTAGTGACGCGAGCGAAACCTCCATGCGCGAGATGAGAACTCCAAGGTCCCTGGCAGGACCGCTAACCAATACTTGGGTGTCGTCGGCATATTGAAAGACTACTGCATCACCCGCGTACAGCGATAAGTTGTTAGAGAAGATGGTGAAAAGTAACGGCCCTAACGCAGAGCCCTGGAAGACACCCATGGTATTAGGAAGAGGCCGAGACAGCACTCTACTTCCGGACCCATTTTTCAACGACACGCTCTGGGTGTGTCCATGAAGATAGGCGGCGAACCAGGAAATTTCGATACCGTGCAGCATAAGTTTTTGCATCAGAAGCTCGTGGTCTATCACGTCAAAACATTTACTAAGATCGAGAAGGCATAGCATTGAGATCTCCCCCCTGTCGGTGGCGGCCAGGATGCGTTCAGTGACGGACAACAACGCGGTTTCAGTAGAGTGCCGGGGGCGGAAGCCGTGCTGTGAGGATGCCAGAAGGTGATTGTGAGAGAGGTAGATGTAGAGCTGCTGATGGACAATGCGCTCAACCACTTTCATGATTACAGGAACCAGGGAAATGGGCCGGAAGTTTGCGGGGTCTGAAGGATTGCCGGATTTGAACAGAGGGTGAACTATAGAATGTTTCCATGAATCGGGGATATCGGATTGAATTAAGCAGGTATTGATAATATGCAGGATGACACCACCAATGGCTCGGAATCCGGCTTTCAGCATGCGAACGCAGACACCGTCGGTACCGCAAGCACCCGAGCTACGCATGCTGAAAATCGTCCGCTCAAGCTCGGCAAGTGTGATTTCCCGAAGTTGAAAGCTGCATGCACCAACACGGGTAAGACGTACATTCAAATCAGTAGGTGCGTTTTGGGCTCGGATCTCGGCAGCGACACGAGGACCGACGGATACAAAGAAAGAATTTAAGTCATTGGCAGATAGGTCAGGCTGAACATCAGAACCATCCTTCTTACCGGCAACCACCGACCTGATACATTGCCAAACTTTGTTGGGGCCCCGTTCCCCGATTTCCCTCTGTAGTTCCACCCGCCGGTCGCGACGCAAAGCCGCCCGGACAGAGCGGTTAAGGTTTTTGTACTCGCTCGAGTTGCGGCCTAAATGGCGGAGCGCAGCGCGACGTTGGGACATGAGATCTCGAGTGGCGTCGGAGACGGGAGGAGCAGTCGGGTTACGGATAGACACACGCTTAATTGGGGCATGGGCATCGAAAACAGGTACGAAGAAAGACAAGAAAGCATCCCACTTATTACACATGGCTGTTTCCCCTGGTTCCAATGGCCTTGAGCATGTCATGGGTGACAATTTGTCTTCCAGAATTTCTTCATCGCGGAAATTTTCGTCCGCAAATCTACGTCAACGCATTTCTTGGATTGTATGGTCATACTACGGATTACTGTAAAGTCATACTGACAAAACACAAAGTATACAGTAATTTCAGCTTACCTTCGAGGACTGGGACGCTTGCTCGGTTCTCTGACAGAAGGCCTTGGTTCTGACGACTTGAGCACAATGGCGGTCGCGGATGGTCGCGAACTGCAGAGACATTCCGAAAATATTATTCTTGGAATAATAATGTGTTGGACGAATAGATTAATCACTTTTAGATTAGTTATGTCACAACGGAATAGGATTATCAAGAAAGTGATACAGTATTGCTTGAAATACGCTCCCGAATACTCCCGAAGAATAATGTTAGTAATGCTACCACATAATATTACTCCATGGTTATAAAATTATTGTCCGGGCATGATAGTTTTATCACGAAGGAAGTAATTTTTACACCTTCATGAGAATAGTTTTATTCTGTCGCGTCAATTTATCAGCCGTAATGGAGTATAAAAATTACCCTAATTACTCCCCAGCGGTTTATTTTTATGCAGTTTTGATAAAAGTACTCTAGCTGTCAATTTTATTACCATCTAATGGGAGTTCAGCACAAATATATTCCAATGACCTTGTTTATCACTGTGAAATAAGCTAAAATTACCCCATGCCTCTTTGAGACTGATATGAATTTATAAACCGAAAGAATAAACAGGAAATGTGATAAAATTAGAAGATAAAAGTAGCACTTGCTAAAACACAAAAGAGATGATTATAGTACCAGGTTTAAGAATAACTTTCAAAAACGCCCTTAATGCAATGCAGAGAGTAAGAATACGCTACAAAACATAATCATTATATGCCATTGGTGCGTGATTATTCGCCAAACTGGAGTGGAAAAACTCCAAAAATAACTCTCTAGGTGTAAGTTTTTTTCAGTGCACACGTTTCTGATAAGAAACTCGTTATTTTTATTTAAACTCACCTGAAACGTCCCACCAGAAACATCGACGACCGGAAAATAATTTAATTTGATAACCAAAGTATGGCTGACCTTTCGACCATGTTTTTACCGTTTTTACCCCGTTTTCTCCTGCCAGTTTTTGTGTAGGGAGGTAGGTCGCAGATCGGAAAGGGTCGCTAATTAGGCACCTTACCCTACCAGTACCTAGTGTTACAGTGCTCAGTCCTTCAGTGCCGCGGTATAGCTTCGTCGCACAGTAGCTTTGCGTAGCATTTGATGTGGTGCATTGCACATGTGTGTTCGTGTACGGACACCAGCATGTCCGTGATCTCGATATCTCATTGTCGCAGGAGAAGGGATGTGACGTATTGTAATTTGTAGTGTCCTGAGACATGCTGTCATCTAACGGCAGAAAAGCGAACTCGTGGTTGACGGCAAGTGAGGGCGCGGCAGCCGGAGGGTTGTAGAGGTAGACACCCGAGCTAGGGTTGGTCATTGCTGTATAATATCTGACATTACTGAATACATATCATCGTCTTACGTTATCTGATATCTTAAGAACGTTACACGGTCTTAGTTAGGACGGCCGGTTTGTTTTGCGCGGCGTAGTTAGGTCGCCGCCCTCCTCGCGAGGCCGGTAACGTAAGTTAGGGCCACTAAAAAAAAAAGTGTGTGTGCAGAGAGGAGGTTCGGGGGTGTGTTTTCATTTTTATTATTAATGATATTTTGATTTATAAAAGGAATTTTCTGATAGGAATTAGATGAAATAAGATGCACATGGGTCATCTTACCGCGTGGTAGGAAACGTGAGAAGAATAGATCGGTGTTTTGGCATGAACAAGACTGTGTAATCCACACTGAACAATCCAATTCCATTGATTCATGAAAGAGCTGTACTTTTAACCAACTTTCAACTTTGTTGAACTTGAATTTAAGTGTTGATTTATCATTTATCTTTCAACATTGTGATTATCTATCAATCAAAAGGTTCAGTTGATCTCAGGCTAGTTTAAGCTGTACCATTAGATCAATGGCTACTGTGTCAGTATTTTAATTTCAAAGATGCTTCCAAAAGATCAACTTCAACCAACCACTCAAAACATTATCACGTCCACTGATTGTGTTGGCAAAGCGTCATGCTGGATTACATTCTGCTTCACACCTTTTTTGTGTGGCTGATACCATACCATTGATGGAACCATCGTGACTGTTGCATCCCAGAGTTCAAAGATTAGCCCAGGTCAAAGGCACAGCACACATTGATTAGATACCAATTTTCATGTAGCTGCTCGCCTCACCATCTCACCATGGCTCCGCACAGTCGTAAAAAGCAGCTGCAATTTTTAACCGTCGCCCGTCTGTTGGCGTTTCCACAGCCACTAACATAAGGGGGAGGAGTTGATCGGACCCCCGCGGGCTGCGGCCTCTCGGACTCTGAGATGGAGCTGTGCATAAAAAACGAGCGTATTACCCATGACTATAGGAAGCCGCTGCTGCCCATTTTTAAGGTCCTTGGTCATTTCGTCTCATTCAGGAGGTCAAAGACAAGTGTTGAGAAAATTGGCACCCGCTACAACTTCTTGGAGTGAGATTTTATGGCTCAAGATGATCTCCAGAAAAAACTCATATGCCAATGATCATTATGGGCTGAACTCCAGAGGCCAGTTTTACCGACAGAAAAATAGCTCCTGCCGGAATTTTTTTTCGCCTAAAGACTGCTTCACAAATGGAGCGTAAATGGTAAAGCCCTATCCCCCTACCCACTTACATTCTCATCGCGCTTACGCTGCATCTATGAAGTGATTTTTAGGCAAAAACTCCAGCAGATTTTTCTGTTGGTAAAACTGGCCTCAGGTTTTCCCGGGCAGGTCAGAAAAAAAAATGGTAGGCTCGAGGGTACAATTTGGTCGTGATCCAACGGCTTTTATGTTGAAAAACCACCCGCCACGCCTATATGTACGAGGGTTAAATGGGATTTATTAAATGTTTTGTGGAGGAAGTGTCATGTTTTAAATTTGATGCATCGGAAATACAGAAATACCCAGAGTTCCAGAAAGGTATGGAATTTCAGTAAACTTGGTTATGTCAGCAATGGGGTCTGGTAGGTGGGTCTAGTGGCCCTGCCTGGCGCCTAAAAAGGGGGCACAACCCCGAATGACCTGCCGACCACTGGTTTAAGGGAATACAGCTATCTACCACTTTCCTCAAATCTACAATTTTATGATTTTTTCATGCCCAAAATGATCTGAAAAGAAAATAGTGAATATTTACAAAATGAATTTTAAGATACCTACTTCAACTCTCATATAGGAAGAACTATTTTCCATCTTTGGTACAGGCCACATGGGTTTTGGCTTTGCAACAGAAGCTGATTAAGCATTGACCAATCATATTATGTAATGCATAGTTCATGCCCATGGCAACTGCATGCTATTGGCTGACAATTGGCCTCTGGGTCATTCCACGTCAAATCGATGAAGATTTCTGATTTTAATCAATCCTTTTTGATTTTGTTAAAATTTGGTAGGCTTTTAGCACATATAAAAACAAATGCATCTCAATCTAGCAAGTTTTAAACCTGGGTGATCTTTGAGGTCAGAGTTATAGGTCATGAAAGGTCAATGCTTTTAAAGAGCATTCATTGCAGGATTAGAATGCCCATTGCTGTGTAATTCTGAGTCTGGGGAGGCTGTGGTAAGAACTATTAGAAAGGAAAATGTTCCAATTTATATAAATATTTTGCATTTCTCAGTGACCCTTCATTGACCTTCGACCCGACTAGGCCAAACTGAGTAGTTTTAAATTACGGTCGGGGTCGAAAGTACCAAATCCTAATCGATTTGACGCGGAATGACCCATATATCAATAACAATGCTTCCGGTGCATGACACATGCGTTTTAATTTCATTATCCTGTCCACTGTCCAGCCGTTGCGCCCTGTTATCGTTGTCTGGATACGTTGTCTCGCTAAGCAATGCTTTTTTTCGAATCCGTTCTGATTATGTTGAGGAAACTCTTCGTGGATGCTAAAAGTCAGAACCACGTAACTAGGTTGCGCTAATCATTTTATCATACATGACTATTGACTACCAGAAGGCATTTCGCTGGCACATCCAGAAGATTACGTCATTCAATTGATGTCTCTAGCTACCGCTTTACGCTTACGCAATAGATCAGAATCAATCAATCTTAGTCACTTATTGGTATGCTAGCCTGAATATTACCTACCCTAGTCACCTAGTGCCCTGCAGAAGCAATAGCGGTGTTCGAAACGCCGCACCGCTGGTAATGAAATCATGCATTTCTAATGCCATCCATGAAGGCGGTGACCGCCCGTGAGTGCAGCCGTGAGCTGTAACTATCTGTAGCACCACACAGCCTAAATATCATGCAAAACTCCCCAATGACATTGTATGTGCTATGTTTTTATGGTAAGCTTGCTAAAAATGGTGTCGTTTTGGCTGAATTATTTCGTGGTTACAGTGGTAATCAGCTAAGCACGTACCAGCGACAAAGTAGTGTTTTGAGATGAGGGAGCGCTTTTCACTCTGGCCTCTCATTTGGCTCCTTGGCTGCATAAAAAACGTCAGGTGGCCCTCGAGGTCAAGGTGGAAGAAACATCACCAATTTGAATGAACTCATCTCCGGGGAATTCGAGTTTGACCTCAATAGCTTGTCATACATGATAATTTCTTGATTTGTGCTTATTTGAGAAATGACGCGAGGTAAGTATAACATGACGGCAAGTGTCTTGTAACCACTGCGAACTCGTCAAATCTAATGGTCATTCCATCAGCCGCAGATGCCTTACCTGCTCAGTTACGTGGTTCTCGCATCAACATAATGTTTATTTGTTCCAGGTCTTCACTGACGCGGCTCATTTTTAACCAAGTCCATCCCAAGGAGATAGCTGGTGAAGCCTTCAGTGGAATCCTCAGCAATTGTATGAAAACTTGAAGTGTGTTTTCTTATCATGAAAACGCAGATGCCTACTAGTTTTAAAGCATTCTTCTTGATTTAGGCATTTGATCAGTGAGTGGTGCAGACATTTTCAGTGCAGTGCTAATTGTTTGATAATGAAGATAGAAGCTGCGGGTGCAATATTACCAAGATTCATAAAGCGATCTGTCTCATCAAGTCCGCCTCGGTCAAGATGCAAATGCAGGGAAAGAAACCTACTCCTGTTGGTTGTGGGCACATTCGCACTGATCTGCTTCGGTACAATATTCTACCTGCCCGATCTGGGAGAGGGACTGTGGCGGCTGGAGCGCCTGAAGCGCGTGCAGAAGCGCGTGGGTGACGTGGGCGGTGACCTGCTGCTGCCGGTGCCGCCCCCGGCCCCTGGACGGCCCGGGGCGGCCGAGGACCGGCGCCGGCTCTACAGCAAGGCGCAGGAGGCGGCGGCACCGGCCTCGGGCGGCTCAGCGGCCCCGGTGCCCCCCGATCCGCTACACCCGGTCATCTCGGGCGGCGAGGACCCCGACCCCGTGATGCGCTTCAGACGCCGCAAAATCAAAGAGGTAAGGAGCAACCATCGTGTGCGCGGTGGCCGTTCGTGTTATTGTTTTATAAACGATAACTGATATGTGATAGGGCGTGATAAAGATAATGGACGATTTTGGAACTTTTATTGGCTTAAATCGCCCTGGATTTATCGAGGTGGAACCGTGGATACGACACCAAGGAGATGTTACCGTCTCGCCTCTAATGCAGCTAGAATTTTGCGTATAAGCGACTGTGCGCCGTAACGAGACGCAGCGACTGGCACCCAAAATTGTCTCTTCCTGGACACACCACGGCTTTTACGAAAGGAAGCATGTGCAAATTAAAACTTGCTTCTATTCGCATCCACGAACTTTGACTGCGCCAGTAGAAGGTGTTATTTTACCTCTGCCTTTGACTGTACTGTAGCAACCAATGATTGGGTTATATGCAGTTGAATATATGATAAACATGGAAGGTAGATGATGAGTTGCGATGAGTAATGGATCCGATCGCATGAGTTATTATCAGTGTTCCGTGTAGCGTTCTTTTTTTGCTGGCTTTGCTTTTTTTTCTAATCTACGAAATAGTCCGCCGCCCATGAACAGACGACCAGGAGTGTCCACCCACGGTCCCGCACGACCACAGAACCATACGTTAACACCAAAAACAAAAATATGCAAGTCGTGACACTCCCTGCTAAGAAAAGGAAAATAACAAAAAAGAAGTGAAAAAACCTGTGCAGCCAAATACAGATGCAAGTAGTGTTATGAGTCATGCATACAAGGGGCGGAAAGAAATCAAAGCTAAAAATAGCTTTGACTAGACACTACGTTTTTGTTTTTGTTTTTGTTTTTTCTTCAGTACCTATACATTCATACCTTGGTTAGTTACACATTCGCACAGGGAGTTGGAACAATCACACAAGGACATGGGTATAAGCCGGTAGCATGCAGATCAAAAGGTCGGTGTCGGGTCCTGGTCAGGTTTCAGCATGGTCAAGTGCCCACCGAAATAGGCCACCCAGCTAAGCAAGCTTGTTGCTGGGCGCTGCTTGGTACGGGTAACGAATTCTTCAGCTTGCCTACTTAGCTATTATAGTATTGCCTAGCGTGGTGAACAGGCATTGAAGGCGCCCAAAGGATCATGACTACCGAGCGTGCCCAACATGTAATCATCAACCATATCGATTAGGTGCAGCGGTGGTCTTTTGATGATCCAATGGCACCACACTCGCTCAGGAGTGTCTGTCAGGGGTGCGAGGATGGCGGAGCGTCGTGGAGGTCTGGTCCTGCTGGGACCGGGCTGGTCCGCCGGACCGGGACCCCAATGGTCCGCCGGGACGCCGGACCGGCCACTGCGCGTCGTCGCCATCAACGACCTCCCGTACATCTCCATGGAGCAGCGGCCGGACGGCACGGTCGCCTACAGCGGCTATCTCTTCCAGCTGTGGCAGATCGTAGCCGAGGAGTTGGGACTCAGCTACAACATCTCGGCTCCGCTTACCAGCGGCTACGGCAGTCAAACCACAAACGGCACCTGGACAGGGGTTATTGGAGACCTGGCCTACGGGCGCGCTGACCTGGCGGTCACCACGATGATGCCCACCCCCAGTCGTGCCGCGGTGGTCGACTTTTTGGACGGGGTGCCCATCGCGTCTGCCACTACCGGCTTCATGGTGCGACGTGACACGACGGTGACGCTGCGTCTGTCGCCGGCAATGTTCGCCGGCCTGCTGCGGCCGCTGGGCGCCGACGTCTGGTGGACGCTGGCCGCCGCGCTGCTGGCGCTCTCGCTGGTGCTGCGCCTCTCGCTGCGACTCAACAGCGCCAGAGCCGAGGACGGCCAGCTAGCTCGCGACATGGGCTGGGGCTCGTGTCTTCTGGCCGGCGCGATGACCGTGGTGGGCCAGGGCTGGAGCAGGACGCCGCAGTCGCTGGCCGGCCGTACCGCAACCATGTTCGGCTGGGTGATGGGAATCCTGATCTACATCAACTACACGGCCAACCTGATGTCGTTCCTGACCGTGGACACGGGCCGTCAGCCCATCAGCAGCCTGCGTGAGTTCGTCCAACAACCCGACTGGACGCTGGCTGTGCCCTCTGGCTCGTCAATTCTGAACTATCTAAGATCCAGCACTGACGTATACGAACAGGAGCTTTACCGACGATCGATTACCGGCGACAGGTTCATCGCCTTAGAAAACACGAAAGAAGATATGCTCCGGGCATTCAAACAAAAAGTTATGATATATTTAGAGTTGAACACTCTGCACCAAATGTTTGGAAAGGAATCTTGCAGCATTGTCCCGTTGAATCGTGCATCACTCAGGTCTGTCTCATACCATTTCGTGATCTCGAAAGAAAGGAACGCTCTCAGGTCAGCCATCTCCAAAACGATCCTGAGACTGCTTGAGGGAGGCTTGTTGTCCCGACTGAAAAACTCGATCCGAGAACCTAGCCAGAGCAGTTGTGAGTCCCTCAAGCATTATCAAGTGCTATCTTTCCGCGATCTGATGCCCGTCCTGTGTCTGGTGCCTCTGGGGATAGCTGCCAGCCTGATCGTACTTGGAGCGGAACTATTGTTGTACCGAACCAGACCGACGAGACGCAGTCAGCCGTCCAGCTCACCAATACCAGAGGAGCTCACTGAGGAAGGTCGCGGGAAGTCGGTTGTCTGGCGCTGTGAGCGGTGCCGCGTCACGAGCGGTCACCAGGTGCGGCTGACTCTCTGTGACGCGGCCACGCAGACGGAGATACATCACACTCCGTCTTCCGCGGAGACGACTGCAGGAGTCATGTGGATGCACGCCGTAGTAGCAGCACGCACCGGGACTGATTGACCAAGTCCAACAGCGGAGCGGGATTAGCGAGAGGAACTCCCGAGATAACCAAGTACTAACGTATCTGGCGTAGTGTAGTTGTCACAATATCACAACAGCTGGCTGTCGTACCACGCTGAGAGAGCGTTTCTTTCGTGTCGTGCTTACATGGCTACGCTAATAAACAGACTGGAAACCGAGGCTTTTCTGACTATTTGATAAAAATAAGAAGTATGAAGAAGTCTCGTTCACAACATTATTTAAAGGTCCATATCAGAAAGGTTATTGACGTTCTGATTTGTCAAAAAGTGTTGATAGGTGAAATTTGACCTTTGATGACATCTGGTGACCTGACCATTAACATGATGTAAAAATTTACTGAAGATAGTTGTCCTTCAAAAGAAAAAATCCTTCAGGATTTTTTTTTGGCGTTCTTTCGAACGCCGCTTACCGCGTATCGCTGCGTGGCGCTACGAGCCGAGTTAAACAAAGGTGGGTGTTCAAACGCTTCCCCCGGCCTGGCGAAGGTTTAGGTGTTACCGAGCACCGGCCTGGCGCATCAGTGCTATGCGCTATACATACAGCATTTTTCTTTCGTTGTGTCAGTCGTTGGGGACTGCTATGCACGATAAGAACCGTCACCGGCGGTCAGCTAACCGCGCGCCCTGTCTCCACAGATGATGCGTCACGCCTGGAAGGGGTACGTGACGTACGCGTGGGGCGAGGACGAGCTGCGACCGGTGAGCCGGCGCGGCCGCTCGGCCGGCATGTTCGGCCGCCAGGCCATGGGCGCCACCATCGTGGACGCCCTGGACACCCTGCTCATCATGGGCCTGGAGCAGGAGTTCAGCGAGGCGCGACTCTGGGTCAAACAGAAACTCGACCTGGCGCACGTGGTGAGTCACTTTTTATTAAACTTTTTGTGGATGCTTTGTCTAGTTGTGAAACTATGTATATTTTGTAAAGATTCAACGATTTACCAAACATACAAAGCGATTATTTGCATATCATATCTGTTGCTGAGTCAGTGTATCGACTTTCGGCCGCACCGGACTATATCGACCGGACTGGTGTATTTGTTTATTCATGCTGAATATACATTCTTGGACGATACCGCGAAAACGAAATATTTCTATCGAGAGTTTTCAAAGGATTTCATGCACGAGGCCTTGGCCGAGTGCATGAAATTCTTTGAAAACTCGAGATAGAAATATTTCGTTGCGGTAGAGTCCTAGATATTATTTCCTGTATGTTTCTTAATATCGCTCGTTATCTGCTTAAAAAAGGCCGAAATATGCATAAATAAAATACAGTAACATTAACTACACGTTAGGTACTGAAATACTGGCAGTTCTAATTACTGAACAGTGCAGCAAAGCTTACAAATTTTCTTTAAAACAGAAGCCCTCGATGAAATCAAGCTATCCAAGAAAACCATCCAAGAAAACGTCTCGCGCAAAGTTTCTTGGATGGCTGGATTGCATTGCAAGACTGCATCAAACATACAGGAATAACCACTTGAGTAGCGGAACGATGCATTTCTTGCTTTGTGACTGGTCACTGTTGAGTGTATCGGCCTGGATCGGCCGGTGTCCTCTCACCCTCGATGACACGACATCCGTCCACCAGACCTCGGAGGTTTCTGTGTTCGAGGTGAACATTCGCTACGTGGGCGGCCTGCTCGCGTGCTTCGCGCTCACCGGAGACGCCCTCTTCAGAGACAAAGCGGAGGAGATTGCTCGCGCTCTGCTGCCGGCGTTCGACACCCCCACCGGCATACCGTACGCCATGGTGGTGCCCGCCACCGGGGTAAGTCGTGACCTACGACACTTTGGTAGCCCGCCTAGGACTTAAATTATAGCCTGGTTTACCTAAGAAATGGTTTGGTAGGTGGTTTGGTAGCCGGCTAGAAGTGACTCAGGCTTCTGATCAATAAACTGACTCATTGTAGTTATAGAACCGGTGAACACAGAACCATTAATTTTGACTCGGTTCAGGTGAATTTTGGCCGATGTGAGCCTCAGGCTGGGTGGGCACTGAGCAGCATGAAGTCCATCAAACGAAGAGGATCCTGCTCTCTGCCCTGTGTACACACGTACCGTTTCCTTTCGCCTACCGTGCCTGTCCGTATGAATGACCCACTTTTGTGTGCTGACAGCGGGCCAAGAACTTCGGCTGGGCCTCGATGGGCGGCTCGATCCTCTCAGAGTTCGGTACTTTACACATGGAGTTCAGCTATCTCTCGGACGTCACTGGGCAGCCCGTGTTCAGGGAGAAGGTGCGCCGCGTGCGCGACCAGCTGGCGCGGATGGACACCCCGGGCGGACTGTTTCCCAACTACCTGCACCCGGTCACCGGCGACTGGGGACAGCGTGAGTAGACATAACGGGTGGCGTGGGTAGCCACACCGACCGGCGTGGGTAGCCACACCGACCGGCGTGGGTAGCCACACCGACCGGCGTGGGTAGCCACACCGACCGGCGTGGGTAGCCACACCGACCGGCGTGGGTAGCCACACCGACCGGCGTGGGTAGCCACACCGGCCGGCGCGCGGTTGGCTGATTTGTGACGTTTTGAAATATATTGGCTGATTTGTGACGTTTACTGGGTTTTCACCTCATGTTTGACGACTGTCGCGTCTGGTTGTCGTCTTTGGTCATTATATTCCTTTTTAATGCGAATCAAATGCTGATATTCATGCAAGGTTGAACGGAGGAGTTGATACATCCATTATTTAGTGTTTGTATCCACTATCCAGTTTCTAATCTTGTAATAATGTACCCGTGCTTTGGTGTCCAGTCCGACCACACAGTTACTGTACCTATCCCGTTTCCCGGCCTCTCCCGTTCACAGACCACACGTCTGTGGGTGCGCTGGGCGACTCGTTCTACGAGTACCTGCTCAAGGAGTGGCTCCGCTCCGGCGGCGACGACCGCCAGGCGCTGCGGATGTTCCAGCTGGCTATGGGTAACATCACCGACCGGCTGGTGAAGACCTCCGACCAGTCGGGCCTCACGTTCGTGGCCGAGATGCACCGCGAACGACTCAGCTACAAGATGGACCACCTGGCCTGCTTCATAGGTGCGTGCCGCCCTGTTTTATGCAATGCAACGGTTGTGACTCGATCTTATCTCTGTACTCAATATGACGGAACTATTTTGAGTGACCCGATGAAAAGCTAAGTCACAAGGTGACAAATAACACAAGTTTTTCAGTGAATTGATGTTCCCTTCTGGCTTCTTGTTTCACTGAAGCAGTTCACGCATTTTTGTGTAGTTTTCTCCTGTGTATTTTGTGAATGCCTGTGTCAGTTCGTAGTGTATGTAATCAATGCTCGTCTAAATTCGACATGGGCTGTATGACTGTATGTAGCGACCGGATTTTGTTCCGGGGTGGTATGTGCGCTCTGGCTGACCAGTGACCTGATTACGGTTTACAGGCGGCCTTTACAAGCGCTTCTGCTGATTTTGGTTCACATGCGGTCTGTACGCGCAGCTGGCCAGAGCCAGGGACCCGGACAATTCCCTCCAATGACGAAGTGTCATTCACAGGCGGGCTGTACGCTCTGGCTGCGGCCAAGGACCCGGAGACGGACACGGACCGTTACCTGGAGCTGGGCCGGCAGATCACGGCCACGTGTCACGAGTCCTATGACCGCACCGCCACCAAACTGGGTCCCGAGAGCTTCCGGTACGTACAAAACGTGACTCGTTTATTGTCCATCCCTTCCTGGCTGTTAAAGCGGAACTGCCAGCAGGATGTTGTTTGCAAAATTGGAACTAGAAAATGGGTTGCAAAGATCCTCATATAGAGCTTGCCCTTGTTTTCCTGCTGACGTTTGGCTTGAAGCAACATTTAACTGTTCAGTAATTTTCAAAATAATCAGACCTGTGCTATGGTTAATTTGATATCTTGATGCACCCTTCGAATGTTATTGAACCGTTAATATTCTCAACAGATATCAGAGAAGAAACCTGACAAATAATATTTGTCAGGTATTATCATGCATAGTTTCTGATAGATGTCATGGTTATCAGTGCTCGCCTATCACCTAGAACGGCGCTGACAGTTGTAACGCGCCGACAGGTTCACGGACCAGGTGGAGGCACGTCCGCTGCTCCAGCAGGAAAAGTACTACATCCTGCGGCCGGAGGTCATCGAGAGTTACTTCGTACTGTGGCGGCTCACGGGCGACCCCAAGTACCGAGACTGGGGGTGGCAGGCGGCTCAGGTATGTACGATAATGAGACTTCAAACTCCGACCCGAGCCTGACTTGCTTGTTCTAATGGTGGGAACCGTGAGTAACTGAATAGTCTACATTTTTGGTAAAACATGGTCTCTTCAATCTAAGTTAGATTTCCATCCAGCACAGCCTAGTCCATTTGAAACATTTATCACGAGCTTGGGCTGGACCGGAGCCGGGAGGTGGATACCACATCCTATCCGGTCTGTGCCTTTGAGGTATCAGTTTTATCGCGGTTTAACGACTGATCATGCTTTTCCTTTTCTTCGCTGTTACGCAGGCTATCGAGCAGTTTTGCCGAGTCGAGGCGGGCTTCTCGGGAATCAAGGACGTCGACTCGCTGTGGCCTGAACATGACGATGTGCAGCAGAGCTTCTTTTTGGCCGAGACGCTCAAGGTAAGATGTCGTTGATAACTATGAGGACCTGCCCTCTCTAGCTCTTATACTCTGATAATGGTTTTGGGTGAGTGCTTTGCAACGCTATCACACATCATAATGAATAGCAAACGAATGTAAAGCTGGTGTTTGTATTCAAATGCTCTTAGAAATATTCTTAGTCCTCTAGATCCGCAAATGGCTGTTCTTCTGTAACTTGGAAGCTTTGTATGTCTAATTATTCTCGCAAATGAGATGTAATTTGTCTTGAACACGGCTCTACAAATCAAACAAAACATACGTGCCTTCAAATCCGCCCCTAAGCACCGTGAGCGGGAGCAGAGCGGGGAAATCCTACTGTGTGCAGTAGGACGCAAGGAATCAACGGAGTGTGATCTGTCCGTGTAAAAAGAGATATGGGCTTTATGCGTGCCGCAGGAAAGACGCAGAATCTTTTGACGAGTCTGACCATATCGGTTACATTACAGCCAGTCACAATATAATATAACTGTTTACATTGCATCTTGTATCCAGGAGTCCTGAAACGAAGCAGTCGGTTACGATTTCAAAGTACACATCAGGTATGCAACCAAAACCTGACCAATTGCACCGTTTTATACCAATTCCCCACGAACTTATCCGTATGACCTGATTGTCCGTATGTCCAGAGTCACAACGATCTAACATTGTCCGTCTTTATGTCCGACAGTACCTGTACCTACTGTTCAGCGACTCGGAGCTTCTCTCGCTGGACCAGTGGGTGTTCAACACGGAGGCGCACCCGCTGCCGATCCGGGGGGCCAACCAGCTGTACCGGCAGACAGACGTCGGGTAGACGAACGGACACCCTCCGCTGGACAGTTGTGAGTCGGCTGGAGGAAATCATCTCCGTCAGCAGTGCCGAGTAGATGCTGCAAACTCTACAGCCCTACCGTCTACAGTGCTGTTGTCGGCTAGAAGTATAGGCACTAGCACTGCGGCTGTCAGCTGATCTAGCTCTGTCCAGCAGCTATCTAGTTGCGCTCAATCCCAACAACTGTCTGGGACCCACCAATATTCGGCAGCTGTCTGAGGGCCTACGTCCTTTGTCAGACAGCTGTCTGTCTTTATCGACAGGATCGACGTTTTTGTGTTCTTGAATTCAAGAACAAGTCAATCATTAATGACTAGAATTTTTGTTTAATCAGCGTCAGCCCATTAGTCCTGATATGTACAGGGTAATCTTATATGTACTGCTTTGTACAATTTCAGGTATATTGCCATGCCTTTGATAACATCTTTTTAGGTAGACAATCTTGTTATAGTTTATATCACCGTGAAACAGTTCACTTTATTATGTCACCCCTGCATTTTTACGTCCTTAGATTCAGGCCAGCAATCAATGTGCCATATTAACATTTCATGAATGTCATTGTAGCACAGCTCATATCAATGCTGATTGTTGACGAGTTGTTATGCGACTTTTATAAACGTTTTATTTGCGTTGCCAGTTGGAACTTCCGGTTCATGTTATAGATGAACTTACTGGAAGAATTGGGACAGTTCAAGCGTAATTTTACGAAGTCCATGAATCCGAGCTTTTCATACTGATCTGCTCGTTGTGAACGGGGGCTGAGCCGTTCCTCTGCGTTGATTGTCCAAGTGTCTGGGACGTCGGACGTTTGAGGGCAACACTGGTTGAGGGCATTTGACTCTCAATCGGTCCGTGTAACTCGCGCCTTCCCACGTGTTGGGGACCCGCGTTGGGCGAAGGCTGGCCTTTTCAGGCGCCACTAAGTGTTCCCACTGCACTAACGGCTGTGCTGAGTGCCTAGACCATCGTGCCGATGACGATCGTCATGTGACCGTATTCGCGATGTGATTGTTATCTAATTCCCCAATTGAAGTGAAATCAGGTGTTTCTTGTGAAATCAGTGATCAGGTGAAGTGAAATCATGTGAAGTGTTCAGCTGGTGTCTGAACGTTGTGAGAGTTTGGAGTGTATCGCATCTACACTCACCGGCGTTTGACAGTCTTCCATTGATATTGTGTGGAATCTGGCTAAGTATCACTGCATCGTTGTGAATGTATCGCGCACGGGGAAGGGGACCACTCTATGGGTCATTCTTAATTCCTGGTGATGTCAACCAGAATCATGGCACTGTGATTATCTTACGTCCTTCTGGTTGAATCACCAATGTGATAATCGATGAATAACGATCATATTCTGCCGCGTGTGTTGCGATTTTACATCATTGGTTGTGACCATTGAAAGGTCCTGAGCCTTCACTGCAAATGCGCATATCATCTCGCTGTCTCTCATGTGATCTCTACAATATAGACATTTCATCTCCAAATCGCCCTCTGTAGCCTGATGCAGGATGGTTGAAGGTAAGCAGCGTATCGCATTGGAGAGGCTGAGAGGGGTCAATAGACCGTATTTTTCCCCCAACTGCCTGACAGGTGATCGCCATAACAAAGCCGTTATAAACAGCATTTATTAAATTCACTATACGCTCCAATCCCATAGCATCCCTTGGGAAATATCGACAGGAAAATAAATTGAGACCACGGCATGCTTTGATGCCGTTATTTTACACAAACCACCGGAATATGCACATTGCCGATAGCCGTCGGACACGCCGCCACCGACAGCTAGTTTTACCGACAGTCCGCACGCCGTCGCTGTGGCCCCCGCTGCACCGTCGCGCCTAGTTAGCGGCGGCGACGGGCTGCTGCGGCGGCGGCGGCGCGTCGGCGCTGGGTGCGCACGCCTGTCGCACGCTCATCTCCCACTGGTGGAGGAGCTGAGACACGGTGTAGTGGTCGGGCAGCTTCTCCAGCCGCGAGAGCAGGTAGTGCTGCACGCGCCGCAGGAACGGCGTGCCCGAGTAGGCCAGGCCGTCGTGCAGACAGCGCGGCGAGCGTGCCGGGTAGTCGGAGGGCACGGCCAGCCGCACGGGCGGCACGGCCGGCGCTGTCGGCTCGTCCAGCTCGACCACCAGCCGCACGCCGCCGCCGCCACCAGGGGGGCAGGTGGAGTCCAGCGTCACCTGCCGGAGCGGCACGGCGCGTCACACACGGACAACAGGCGCACGATGAGGGGGGGGGGGGGGGCAGGTAGAGTCCAGTGTCACCTGCGGGAGCGGCACGGCGCGTCACACACGGACAGCAGGCGCTCAATGGGGGGGGGGGGGGGAGGGCGTGTAGAGTCCAGTGTCGCCTGCGGCCGTAGTACGGCACGTCACTGACACACTGACACACGGACACTGACCGCTGTCAAACATCCAGCAGCCGGCGAGGCGTCCCTCACACATCACTGCACTGTAATGTTAGTGCAAACTTTCAATTATCTAGCGCGACATTCAAATAATCACACCAAATATGTGTAGCTCGAAACGAAAACGGCGCTAATGGTGACTGCAACGAGCATGAATGCTTGCCACTTACCATCTGACAGTTCAACGAACACGCGACTATAGAGTATGTCGTCCGACTCCCGACAGTACACGGGGCGTTTCGCGCACGTCCCATACAACTGACTGACCTTGAACCTGGCCTCCATGCCGGCCACCTCGCGCTGCAGCGGCAGGGGGATGGGGTCGGCGGCGGCCGGCGGGCCCCGCAGGCGGCGCGCCGGCGGCAGGCGCAGCGTGCAGCCCAGCAGCGCCTGGTACGGCGGGCCCACTGTCCGGCCCAGAGTGTGGTTCAGGTACGCCGACTTGCTGAAGCAGTTCACCGTGTCCAAGATCACCTGAGGAGAGCGGAGTTCAGTTGTGGTCAATTGAGGTGCACGTGAAGTGGAGACAACACCGGCATGCAAAACCAAGCCTTCGTATTTCAATCGTGAGATTGGTGTAGGCATCGCGAACGTACATTTACGAGGTGGTCAACTGGTCAGGCCACACACAATAATTACTACGCTCAGTCGCCAAATGTAATTTTGAAATACAAGTAAAAGGGAACGCATGTAGCAATTGATTCAGGATAAAGCGCAAGTTACCCATCACATGACAGCAGTATAGATCGGTAGACGAAATAGACGGAACCACGACACAACCGAAACACCTGTTGTTCTTCTTCGACAGAAGCGCGTCTGATTAGAACCCCGACCCATCTCGGACCACCCGACCCACGCCGGTCAGTCGCCAGCTGTTAGCGGCCCGAGCCCGAGGCAGTATCTCACCATCCCGAGTAGCCACCGGTGCCCACCGACTCTACTCCCTCACCTGAGGTGAGGTGAGACTTCCTCACTATTCCCTCACCTGGTACTCCTTGTGCGTGGTGTGCTGCTGCTGTTGCTGCGAGTGGCCGTGTGCCATACCGCTGGCCTGGTTAATCTCCAGCTTCTCCAGCACGTGTTCACACTTGATCAGCAGGTCCATCGGATGCTGACGGTTCGGATTCTCCAGAATCTCCAGAAGACCTTTGATCTTGCTCAGTTTGGCAGTTTCTTGGTGGTTGGTGTTTTCGATCATTCGTTTTATCGGTTCGATGTATTTGCTTAGCTGCAAAGGAAGAATGGCTGATTAGAATCATCGAGTGATTTGTCTATACACGTAAACAAACGTTTATCATGCATACAAACATTTATTGAATTTACTTGTTATCATTCCTAATTTTTAAGTCCTTTTCCTAAAGAACCCTATAAAAGTGCACCCACCTTTCGATCGGTGCAGGTAGCTAGCAAACTGTATCCTATAGGAAAAGACGGTTGTATGGGGAGGGTCTGGCGGTCTGACCGCACTGACCTGTTTGACCTTCTCCATGTACTGGGTCTCGTCGTGCTGGCTGCGCGGCGAGGTGGTGGCGTTGGCCGGTCCGGCCGGTGTGTGCAGCTGCGGAGACGGGGCGCTCATCTGACTGGGCGCCTTGGCCGAGCCGGGCGCCATCGGACTCTGGCCCAGACAGCTGCTGCCCGGCGAGGGCGCCGCGAACGCCGGCGACGGCTGCTGCTTGGCCGTCAGCGCGGCCAGGCCGCCGGGCGAGGCCACCATGCCGCGCGCGCCCACCATACCCTGCTGACTGGGCGGCGGCTGTCGCGCCATCGGCCCGCCGCCCTGCATCATCATACTCATCTGTCCGCCGCCCTGCATCATCATCTGGGTCTGCATCCGCTGCTGCTGAGCCGCCGCCGCCGCCGCCGCCGCGGCCGCCTGGTGCTGCTGCTGCTGCTGCTGCTGCATCTGCAGGGCGGACATACCGGGCCCGGGCTGCGGCTGCATCATCTGACTGCGGGCCGCCATGCTGGACAGCATGGCAGCCTGGTCCTGCGGCGGGCCCGCCTGCTGCTGCTGCATCTGAGGAGGCATCTGCTGCTGTTGTTGCTGGGGCTGCTGCTGCTGTTGCTGCCCAGCCATGTTCTGCAGAGCATTCATTGGATCTCCACCCTGCTTATACTTATTGATGTGTAGAAGCAGACGCCCGAGAAAGCCGATGTACTCTTCACGAGTTTTGGCACGCTGAAACACGTGGTTCTCCATTTCACGGCTAGTCTTGTTTGTCGGATTGCCAGACTGCCGGATCGCCTGAAACCATCAAACATCCATGGTAAACGGTGCAGGCAGGACAGGACAACGACCATAAATGATAGCAAGCCTCGTAGCTCGGTGGCAGCGAGTTCGCGACAGGAGAAATCCACATCCCGCGTTCCCGCGTTCCGCGTTAAACCCGCGTTCCGGCTAAGGCAGCTGGTAGCTGACTAGAGGGTCACTCTCCTTGCGGTGTGTAAACTTCTGATCAAAATTATCGCCGGTGAAGGGTCCGTGGTGTCATTCGCAACAAGTACAGCTTAGCTGCGGTAACTGGGTCCACAGCCACTCACCCACCCATCCATTCGGACAAAAATGATCAAATCAAGTAATCTGTCCATGAGACAATCGAATCAGTTGAACACGCAAAGCACGCAGTGCGCTCACAACGTTGTATCCACGACTGAGTGATAAGCCGTCCGCCCGCCAGAGCTGCGGGGACGACCCCGCTCGTCTCCGTCACGCGCCGTCTCAGAGTCCCGGCCAGGGCACATCGCACCCGGGTAGATCACTCCAAACGGTAACTAATACACAGGTATCAGTCAACGTCATTTAGTAAGAATAAAGAAATAAAGAAAATAGGGAGAGTATGGATAAAAATAAATCACACGATCAGTGCAATATTGACATGCGTATGGACAAATGCATTCTCAATGCCTTCTCACCTCTTCAATGTGTTGTTTCGCTTTCATCCTTGAGGCAGCACTCTTCCAATCATTGGGATCTTCTGCCATGATGTATGCAATAGCCTGTAACCCAGTACCAACAGTCAGGTAGGTAACTACTGACACTCAAAAATATTTTTGAGAAAGGTTGTAGAAGCATGAAGTGGTACACTCAAATGCAAATTAGCAAATTAGATGGATGATTGCGCATGGTGATCTGTAGTATTGTATGGTTAAAAAAGGAGGGCTGTTCACGGGCCCTGTGTGCGGTCGGACCGCACACAGCCTCTAAGCTCCGCCCACTGCGTCCCTACGTCAGCCTTCCGTCACCGCACACAGCGACCGCTGTGGCCGGTCGGGACTGGCCACAGCGGACCGTCCACCGCACGCAGCCGTGACGTCAGAGCCGCCCATCCATCCCCTACCCCCACGCCTGCTGGACGCACCGCACACACCGCACGCAGCAGTGTGCGGTGCCCGTGAACACCCCTAGGAAACATTTCACATTAAGGTAGGTACCTTTTACCAGGTACTTCCTGATCAATCATCATTTCTTCATATATATACAAGGAAATGCAACTAGTCAATACAATATTTTCCATAGTTCTGAGTGCAGGGAGGTTGGATATGTAAGGATAATGATTGGATTGAGTATGAGGATTGAAGTTGCAATAAAGTAATGATCAGGTGGAGTTTAAGGAGATGAACTATAGAAGCAGAGGACCTACAGGACTAATTGAGGCCATAATTTGTTCCATTCTAGATTGTGTCTATGGCCGTAGGTAAAATTTTTCCGTAATAATACTTGATAAATGCTTTTTGCGTACTCACGAATGCTTCATGAATGCTTCCATGCGTTTTTTTTTTAAGATGTTAAGGAAAACCCAATAATGAAATTTTATTCAAGAGACCTAATGTGATCAAAGCACAGTTCAACCTAAACTTTTAACAGCAAAAGATCATTAAAAGGATGGGAAGCATGTTAACCCAGCAGTTGCTGGGGTATTTCGCCACCCACCGTTTGCTGGGGGGGGGGGGGCGTTAAACGCCCCCAGCCGATAACTCGAGAACCAATAGGCGCAGCGAAACGCACGAGGCGGCAAACGAAAGAACGCGACGAGACGCTTCAGATGTGTACTTTAATGTTGAATTTTGAGGTCA